CATTAAAAGAGATCCTTGCTAATTAAATTACTCTTATAACCTTGTTATAAGAAGTGTAAGCTGACCCTTAACATTTGAAATATATGAGTTTGTATGTAATGTATGAATATAATATACAAGTTTCACTTTTTAAATGGAATTACTGAAATAAATCTACTTTTTCATGATATTCTAATTTTATGACCAGCACCTGTATATAAATAAGAGCCTATAAAGCAGCAGCAGTAGCTAGCTGTAGCACTTCTGGTTCAGCCTTGGGGACACTTCCTGCAAGTTTAAAAGATCTGAAATAGAATAGAATAGAACAGAATAGAATAGAACAGAATAGAACAGAACAGAATAGAACAGAATAGAATAGAACAGAATAGAACAGAATAAGCTTTATTATCACTGATAAAATAATGTTAAAAACAGTGTCAAACACTGAAAGAGTTTAGCAACCTCACCCTTAGGTAGTTAAAAAACACACAATAAATTACAATAAAAACATTTAACCTCTAAACAAACTACTGCTATAAGTTGAAAAATCGGTGCATCTGCAAGTTTGAATGTTAGATTTTTATTAAGATTTGTACTAAACTTTAGCTCTTAAAAAATAAATCTCTGTTTACAAAGTCTGGGGAAAATAATTTTTGTTGGGGTACAACTTTTTTATTATTATTTTTGTTTGAAATTAATATCCTGTTGTATTGGTGTTAAAACTTAGAGTCAGTATCAGCTTTGTTAATAAGTTAATATTTGTCCTTATATTAGCAACAAAATTTAATGTGTACTGGATGAGTGTCAATAACTGTTTGTGTCTTTGACCAAACTTTGTTTCTTAAAACCATTTAGGAAACTTTTTTCCCTTTTCTCCTTACCTCAATGGTATCACTGTGTCAGAAATGTAAAATTTGTGCCAAATGTCCAGCTGACCAATCAAAATGAATAACAAATAATTTACTCATTAGTTTTCAACATATTATTTTATCCTAATTCTATAGAAAGAACCAGTATATTAAAATATGTGGGGTTCTTTAAGAATTTTAATGTCAGTTCTTACTATGATCAAACTGTTCTCCAACTCTGTTATTTTCAGTAAAAAGATGCACACACTTCTTGATTATATTGATCTCAATTGTCAGATTGTTGTGTTGGTTCATACGGCCACGCCTATATTGGTGTCTCTTTATCTTGCACCATTAATTTGAATAAATACATTAATTAATATGAATAATTTTAACTATCTGCACAGCCAGTTCTCCATGGGGCCTTCATGATGGCACCAGCCATGGATGCTGGGACATTTGTCACATGACTGTAAGTTTCTCAGAATGAAAGCTGTTTAAAATGCAGTAATGTTGAGTCATCATTATCCAGTTGAAAGTGATGTTCCAGGTAAATGCGACTTGAGTCATTCACTGAACCACAATTTGAGCGTTTTATGTCAGCATGAGCGCACAAGTGGAGAGCACTTTTGTGTGTCACAAGATCGTCTTCCCCCTGAGGCACCGTCCCTTCTGGTCTCACTTTTATGCAACTTCTTTCTCTCTCTCTATTTCTTACTTTCTGTTCTAACACTCTCTCCCACATCTCACCCCCCACCCTCCTACCTTCCCCCACTCTCTCTTCCTTTTGCTCTCCTCAGTCCCCACCGAAAGGTGCCACCATCCCCTACCGCCCAAAGCCTGCCTCCACCCCTGTCATTTTTTCAGGTGGCCAGGTAAGAGCAGACCCACTGGGGGCGTCCACAGCCAACCTCAGCCTCTTACTGCAGCACCAGCCACTGCCTGTTAGTGTCGCACCAGGTTTTACTCACTCTTCTCCCTCTTTCCTCACTCCCTTTTACCTGTCGAGCATGAAAACCATCACTGCTGTTTACAGCCATTCATCACCCCGGAGCCACTCCAACCAGGACTGAAATGAACACTAACAGAGAAACAAGCACTGAGACGTGATTTAAAGGGATCCATGATTAGTTGTAACATTAGACTTTATTTGATAACATATACAGCGGGTAAAATAAGTATTGAACACGTCACCATTTTTCTCAGTAAATATATTACTAGAGGTGCTAATGACATGAAATTTTCAC